TTTTTTTTTTAGTTTTTTTTATTTTACTTTCGTTAGTTTAGTTAGTTAGTTACCGTACCTTTACGTTTCGTTTACTTAGTCGTCTTACGTAAGTAACTCCTCCTCTCTCTCTCTCTCTCTCTCTCTCTCTATCTATCTATCTATCTCATCAGTTATCAGGAAGTAATCTAATATTGAATTTGTTTATTAAAAACTGACTCTCTTCGTTGAAATTATGGGGAAGAGTTTTAAACCTTTGTGAAGAGGGTATTGCTGATCTGAAAGTACCATTTTGGCTGATACAATTGAAGATTAAAAGGGCATCAGTAGATCCCACTAAATTTTCTTTATTATATGGACCTTGGGTCTAGAAAGCCTTAATGATTGTTGATTTAGTTCTGTACCAAGTGTTTGCATCATGCTCCTAGAAGTCTAAAGTTTCCCTTGTGTTCACATTTGTATTTTTTTTGTCTGTTTTCTTCTTTCTTTGATAATTACATCTCTCTTGTCTTCTTTGGTGCATTCATATGACAATGAATGCGTTGTTTGATGGTTTTTAATTTGCAGTAAGATAATGGACCGAGTTATCTCAGTGGAGTATGCAGTGCGTGATGATGACGAAAGAAGGAATGGTGGGTACAGCCCTGCGAGGAGAGGGAGAGATCGATCTCCCAGGAAAAGCCGAGAGCATGGGCGCTCTCCAAGTCCTTATGGTAGAGAGAGAGGCAGTCCTGACTATGGGCGCGGCCCAAGCCCATATAGCAGGCCTGATGCAAGGGGCAGCCCTAACTCTGGCAGAGCCGAGAGCCCCGTGTATGAGAGGTACCGCAGGTGAGAGAACCTCTGTGCATTACGTTAGCTTTTGCTACTCTCTCTCCAACTTTTTCAAGAACCCATACTGTTTTTTTACTGCAATTAGTTACAATGGTAGTGAAAAGATGAAGCTATCATATTTCTCTTAAAAGGATTAATCACTTCTGTTTTCCTGAGCGATGATCTATTTTGTGTTGGCAATCAAATGAATATCTCTCTCTCTCTCTCTCTCTCTCTCTCTCTCTATATATATATATATATGCTCCAGTTGGATACAAAATATCAATGGTTGGCTCTGATATCATAACCATCTTATGTGGTTTAGAGAGAGAGAGGGATTCCTTTTCATATCCATTGAAGCAGGTCTGCCTTTTGTCAATAACCATTTCAATAGATTTGACTTTGAATAGTAATCATCTGTTGCCTCTGATCCTCACAACTTATATTGCAGGTTCGATTTTAAAGATTACCAATCAAGTACGCATGAGCATAATACTGATTTTGAAATCTTTTATGAGGAGCCTCTTTTCTATTGGATTTCATCTTCACATTATTTATTTTACGGTGTTTTGGTGCATCAGCCAATGTACCTATTCAAATGTGGTCTCCTTCAGAAATCTATCTTAAAATTGGATTTTTAGATGGAAAATTTTACAACTAAATGGATTTGAATCTTAAACGTCAACACTTTTAAACTTTGTTTTTGGAAAGTTCAGCACCATTCATTTTAGTTCTTTGCAAATGATCAGATCTGCAATGTTTTGTCTGCAAAATCATGGATCCGAAGAGGATATGCATCTAGAGTGAATTAGGAATCCATTTATATTTCTCACTTGTTTATTTTCTTGTTTTTCACTTTTTATTTGGCAGCCGCTCCCCCGCCAGGCCATCCAGATCTTGAGGTAGAATGTAAGGTATTTGTTGTGGACAGTGTTTGAGCTTTTACTTAGTTCCTTTTCTCTAGTGAGTTTAAAATTGTATCACTTGATTGCACATGCCTGGGAAGTGGCCAGGCTGCTTTTTTATATGATCAATGTTTGGGCTTCAAGTATAGATCTCTAGGGGTTGTTTCTTAAGAGTAGTTTGAGAATCTAATGGCTTTGAAGATGTTTGAGACTCTTTTCAGGGAAACCTCCAATGTAACTACAGCCACTTATGAATTGTCAAAATTTTTCATGTTCTGCTCACCGTTTGCTTGTTTATTTATTTAATTATTTATTTATTTTTATTTTATTTTAATTTTCTTTTGGGGATTGGGGGAAGAGAGAGAAAAAGAGAGACTAATTTGCTTGTGGATGTCAGAGGGTGTGTCTGTGTTAGAGAGATGTATTGTGCATCTATCTTTGCAGCCTTGTCTTGATTAGTATATGAAACCACCGAACCAGTTGGTTCTTGTCCGTTCTTTGGGGTTCTTTGTATTGGAAAATGGGAAAAAAAATTACTGTTGGGAAACTGGGCCAAACTTCGAGGATCTTAAACCTTGGCAGACCATCTCAGCCGGTTTCGGATTTCTGGGCTAAACTTCAACGATCGTAAATCCTGCCTGACCATATACCGGTTTTGAATCTGATATCCAGTGTCTAAACATTAATCTTGATCTGTTTATTTATGGGTGTAGAACCATCCAGATGCACATCCCCGTGCCAATCTCAACTCTAGAGGGGAGGTAATATGTTTTACCTTGAATTATTTGCGATTTTCCTATGAGCCTATTTTCTTTTTTGTATGGTTTGGGGATTATCCGGTAGCCAAATAATGGATTTCACTTTCTTTGAACCCTAACAGCCACCATTCTTGAAAGGCTGAGCCTAATGTATTGATATGTTTGACTGTTGAATCTGAAACACACAAATCTCGCTCTTCCCATACCCACAACAACGCCCACGCCCCTACCTCTTCAGTATAAATGGTATATCCTTAAAAAAAGTTGATAATAGGTTTGAACTTGAAATAAATAGCAGTTTAGATCGTGCTCTCGACTGATTGATTTTGTGTGGATGGTTGAAAATGTATTTTATAATTTGAGTTTTAACCTTTTTCTCCACAAATTAGATCAAGACGGAATTTTGAAGAATGTGTTCTACATAATAGGGCACACAAGAAAAACAAATAAAATGAGTATTTTATAAAAATAAAATGACCAGGGTACCTCTACAAAATGGCTGACATTATTTTCGCATTTTAAAATTTTGCAAATATTTATTATTATTATATTGTACGTGATGGGATCAGCCTAAAATTCCAGCTTTAATCGATTCTTGGAAAAAGAATTAAAATTAAAATTGTGATATGTTTTCAACCATCCATTCATTCAAGGCTGTTAAAGTAAATATATCCAAATTTGGGATTTCATAAATTCTTAGTAAATTATATTTAGTAAATTGAATCTCGGGGAATGTATTTTACACCTAGAACTTATTTTGCACATTTATTTATAAAACTTTTTTTATATAAGGTTGATGCCCTAAACAATCAAATTAAGGTGTTTCTCAAATATTCACTAGTGGAGGTTATTTTAGATGCTGAAAAATATTTATTTTGATCATCTCAACCTTGGATATGAAAAAAAATAGATTTCAAGTTGTAGAAATATTGCATCTTGTAATGTAATATCCAGACTGTCAGTAATGTAATATCCAGACTGTCAATTTTTAAGTGTTTATAAATTTGTTTGATTTATATTATATTTAAATATTTAAATATATTAATTAGAGATGAAAATAAATTTTTGATTCTCCCAAAGATTTTTTATATTGAATTAACATTGTTTTTGTACTTGGGAGTGCGCCTTACTTTGATTGGTGAGGGCCTCAGCCTTATGCAAACTACACCGTTTATTGAGGGGAAATTTCATTACAAGGTCTTAAAGATGTGATTTTAATTAAAAGAACTTATTTTTAGCTTGGAACCTAAGCATGCACGTGCGCTTAAAATAAACGGCTTGGGCCACTTAAATGGGACTAAATTACCAAGATAATTTTGCTTGTTATGGATTCTAAACTTGCCTATTGAGTAACTTCTAAAACAAAACAGATGAGGTGATGCTCGAGTGAAATGCACCTTTGTAACCGATTTTTAGGATATCGGAATTGGGCCGGCCCCGATTTTGAATCGGACAATTCTGGGTCCTATCGGCCTACACTTTATAGTAAATTATTAAATAAGAAAATAAAGCGATTTGTAGATCTTATGTCTGAAATCATCTCCCTCTCAATCCTTATTGGTAATGTTTCAAACACTACTTAAAACAATCAATTTATTGATTAATTAGTTGATCCGACTACTTTGATGGTTTTTCGAGCCATTTTTATCATCATCACACCGGCCATTGAGCTAGTGAAAGGTACGGTCTACTCAAAATCAATTGGACCATAGGTGGTTGAAATTTATTTTTCATAAATCAATAAATTTAAAATTATAAAATATTTTGTAAAAAAATTGTGCAATTTTGTTTGAAAAATATATTGCTCAAACTAATCAAAACTCCCCAAACATTGATTTTGTCTAAAATCAATTTTACTTTAGACCAGACCTTGGTCGCCGTAACCATTTGGGCTAGCTCTTGATGACTACGATATGTTTGAACTATTTTAAGTAAATCTCTCCATGCCCCAAACCATTTTTTTTGGAAAAATGTTATATAAGGTGTCAACCTTATAATGTAGAAGTAATGTGCACATTAGAGACTCTCTGATGATCATCTCGACCTCAAGTTTATGGATATTAAAAAAAAGATTTCAACTCATAAAACTGGTGCTTGTAGTGCCTTATCAAGATCATCCATTTTTAACATTGTGTAGATCTGCACAATCTTAATTATTTTTTGAGCTTTAAATTTCTTAGTTAGGTGTGTGGTGTGCCTTAATGTGATGGTTTAAGAGTGGCCCCTTGTATAAACCGACTCTTTAATTGTATTTCCGAGTAAATTGCATTCACGCGCAGTCCCCTCCAAAGTTCAAAATTTACATTTATACCCATCTCTTTTTTCCCCCCCAAAATGGACCTTTTTCTGGATTTTCATAGTTTAGAAATTATTTAGAATTTTTGGATCCTCAAATCGAAAATTTCACTATTTATCGGCTCCATTTGTTCACAATTTTTTCATCGTAAAGTAGGGCCAGAGGCACTTTTTAATTTCGAAGATCCAATTTTTTTTTATTTTTGGATTCTAAAAATCCGAAAAGGCACTTGGAATAATTTATTTCTTTTTTCCATGAGAAATTTCGGATTTTTAAAATCCAATTTTTTAAAATTTTTGGATTTTACAAATCCAAAAATACTCTTGAAAACAATTGCGAAGAAATCACCAAATTTAAAAAATGATCATGACGATCTGGATTATAGGTTGTTTTGTTATCTAAACAAATTGTAAGCCAAACGGGTGAATTTAATAACATATGTAATAACTTAAAATATTTAGGTAAAATTCAAATATCATAAACTTAAGAAGTGTATGTGCAATTTATGCTAATTTAAATTGGTTCTTATCTATACTCTCCATTCTATAAAAGGGTGCAGTTTGGATAAGGTTGAGGCTTTGAACAATTAACTCAAGACACACCTTCAAATAGTGTCGAAAGATGTTGTTTCAGTCCATAAAATCTTTCTAATAACCTGAAAATTTACTTTTATCATAATTATAAAATTTTAAAAGCTTTTAAAATAGTGTAGATCGAGTATATCTATGAATACTTGAAATTTTTGAAAATTATAGGTCCAAAGAGTACATTACATAATGCACTATTTCCAATACTTGAAATCTATTTTTTTTTTTCAAATTCGTACATCTTGCGGTCGAGATAATCGATTTGAGGATTTTTTAATGTCAAAATAACTTCGTCTAGTAAATTTTTGAGGCGTGCCTTAATTTGATTATTCACAACAGTGATTTACATAACAACAGGTCGGTACAAAATCGTCTGGTCCGACTCAGCCCATGTCGATTCTGTCAGTAATATATAGAAAATCGTCACGGTCTAGAAGATAACCGGCGAATTGCTACAATAAAAATGTCATTTTCCTACAGTAAAAATGCCAAATCACCGATATGGACCGGTCTTTTGCCGGTTGACTCTTTTTGCACGTGTTGTTTCACTAGTTCACTATTTTTTCTGTACAATAAAATAGTAATCTGGACCGTCAATTCATTGATCCAAATTAGCTTTTGTGATGCCTGATCCTGATCACCAATCCATTTTTTAAATCACGGGATACAGCTTTACCCTAATATAATTTGTTTTAAATCACGGGATATCTTCTAGGTCATAGGGTCCACCAAAACGTAAGGGACGCGCCCTTTTAGGTATAGGTATGTATCAAGTTGCGTCCCTTTCATGCTAAGCCTCGACATCGAATATCACATTTGGGTCCCTACCTTTCCTAAACTTTTCCTATTTCAACATTATTTATTTGTCTTTTTTTCCAACAAGCAAGATTTTTTTATATTTGTTTTGAATTTAAAAGTGCGCATACTACGTGGCACAGCAATAGATATCCACGTGTCAATGATTTATTTGAATAAGCTTTAAGTGGAGGGGACTCAGGTGTCCCAAGGAGTATACTGCACATTTACTTCCTCTGATGGAGGACTTGTCTAGGAGTATCCTTTGATATGGAATTTTAACAACCACTTAATGATCGCTGGATTATTATTTATAAAAAAAAAAATTTGAATTTTAAATTCTCTAACACTAGATGTCATCTTTTAGAAATTCGATATACTCTATTCTATCTTGAAACATTATTTTTTTGAAGCAGAGTGCAATTTGAAAAATAAAAATCATTAAAGTTAGTCTATGGGTTCAAGATGTTACATCTCCAAAATTTGGGGTCTTAAAAGTACTCTAATCTTGGAGTTTAAATGAGAGAGTAATTGGATAGTGACTTTCGAAAAATTTGAATGATGGATTGAATCTGTCACCCACCAGTTTGAGTCAAAGTGGTTGCGTTGACTAACTCGGCCAAATTTACTTTAGAAAAAGTTAAAAAATAGAGAATAACGACCAAAAGATAAATAAAAACCTAAAACCCAATACTCTATATCCAAAATCAAATAAATGAGTTGAAATAAAAAACACTTTCATAAAGAAAAAAGTGATAAAAAAGACCTAACAAACAAAGATCGATAAAATTAAAACTTTTAGGCATTTTCTAAGTCACTGTGTTTGGAAATATTTTGGACAAATTT